CATAATCAAGCGAACTAGCTAAAGACTTAGAGCAAAAGTCTACGTCTACAACAAAAATGCGACAGACTAAAGCAGGCGGTCGCTTACGCGCTTGAAATTACCAAATCGGAATACATTCATCTCATTTAGTTGCGGCTTTTGGCAAGGTTTTTAGTTGTTGTTGTTTTTACACTCATATTTATTATTTTTGCGCTTGATTTTGTTTTAACTTTTTATTTCTATTATTATTTTTTCCTTTAATTGTATTTTGTTTTAGTTTTTCGATTTAATTTTAATTTAAAATAATTTAATTTCATTTTATTTTCTTTTAAATTTTTAATTTAATTTAATATAATATAATTGCATTTGCTATTATTTTTTTTTTATTTCATTTTTCATTATTTTTTGGCCTTATTTAGTTTTTTGTTAATCTAATCAATTTAATTTTATTTTATATTTTATTTAGTTAATTTTTTTAGTTTATTCAAATTTATTATTTTTTTTTTATATATTTTTATATCTTATACATTTTTATTTGTTCTCATTTTATTTTAATTTATTTTATTTTCTTATTTTTTAACTAAATTTTTATTTTTTGTTAATCTATTTAATTGAATTTAATTTTTTATTCAAACTAGTTAATTTTTTTGTTTTATTTAATTTCATAATTTTTATATTTTTTATTGTATATATTATATTTTACTTTATATTTTTTGTATTCTATTTTTATTTTTATTTTATCATTTAATTTTATTTAATATTAATTGTTTTTGTTCTTAAATATTATTATGTTTAGATTTCTTTTTTTAAGTCATTTAATTTAATTTAATCTTCCATGCTATATAGTAATTTTTTTATTTTTTTTTATTAATTTTTATTTTTTAATATTGTTTAATCCTTTTAATATTCATTTATTCTTTTTTATTTTATGTTATTTTATTTTATTTTCTTATTTTACTTCATTTTATTTTGTTTTCCTTTTTTATTTTATTTTGCTATTTTTTATATATATTTTTGTTGTATTTATTATATTTCGTTTACTTTTGTGGAACTTCTCTGCCTGCGTCCGTCTTAAAAATATTTCTCTAGATTAATTTGTTTTTAAATAATATGCTAATTTTGATATTGTTTACATTTTTGATACCGATTACTTGAGGTTTTTACTCAACCCTGTTTCATCCCGCTGAGCTTGGTATTTTGTTTGCCAAAAATTTTCAAAAAAAAGTCAATAGATGAAAAGCAAAAAATTAAATTAAAACCTAAAAATTCTCATTTAAATTTACGTCATTTAATAATTCCCAATTCAATTGTATAAAAAAAAAACAAAAACAAATAATAATTATAAACAAGTTCGTGAAAGTTGCCGCCGTCTTCGTGACGCCAAAATTCCCAATTGGCGACAGTTAATACAAAAGCAAAATAAAAACAAATCAAAAATAATAACAAAACAAAAGATTACAAAAATTCAAATTTATTAAAATGAAACGCTCGAAACAACTAAAGCAAAGATACAAAAAAATGGGTAAAAACGTAGAAAGAAGCGCTGCAGGAAAAAAAAACATACCAGACTAGTTAGTATCGGCTATTGGCCTCTTTCGCCGCGTTCAGGGCCGCCAGCAGCGTTGGGGCAAACCCAGCTCATCTAGCACACAGCGCAGAGCATCAATAGACATTTCAAAACAGCACAGCGTAAACAACGGTCCAGTAAACATCGGTTACCGGTGAAGGAAAAAAATTTTAAGCTCAGAAAAAAATTCGAAGCTCAGAAAAAAATTCGAAGCTCAGAAAAAAATTTCGAGCTCAGTAGAAATGAATCTATATATGTGTTAAAAACAAAAAAAAAAACATTTTTGAGAAAATCCCAAAATAAAGAAATGAGTGCTTTTTTAATTACAACAATTTGTTTTTTTTTTGTTTCTTATAATAATAATTGTTTGCTTTAATTATAACAATTTTGACCCACGTATTTTTTTTTGTTCTGTTGCAAATATATACGATTTGAAGATAATTTATAGCAAAAACTTGTTGTTGTCATTTACTGTGTCGCCGGTAAAGCTGACAGGAATGCAGTGCTCTAAATTAATTTTTCGAGTTCTAAGTTCGCATAGCCATGTTTTTTATTATTATTATTTTACGGTGTTGTTGTTGTTTTTAATCGCTTTTCATTGGCTGTCAATTAAATGTTTGTCTAAAAATGGATTTTTGTGCAGTTATTCGCGGCGTCATTTCTACTAGACGACCTTGACCAGGAGTAACTTAGTAGCTAACTGGCAATGCATTGTTATTGTCATTTGATATGTCTAATGGGTTCCAAGCAAATATAAATAGAAATTCCAAATTTGTTGAAAATTAAAAAAAAAATTATTTTTGTTATAATTACTTGTCTCGCGACTATCCGACCTCACCGGTTGAATTAAAAAAATTTGAGTTAAATATTTGACATTTTTTTAAATAAGTGAAATTACTTTGATGTAGTAAATTTACAGCATCTTTCTAAAAATTTTCTTTTATTTTTTAGAACTCAGATGTTTGGATCATTATCATGCAACAAAAACTATACCAATAAAATATAATCAAGCAAGCTTACTGGGGGTAAAAGTAGTTTAATTTAATTTAATATTTTTTTTTTTATTTCATTGTATTTATTTTATTTTATTTTAATTTACTTTACTTCTTTTTTTTATTTATTTTAATTATGTATTATTATTTTATTTTATTTTATTTCGTTTCGTTATTTATTTTATTTCATTTAACTTTTTTATTTAATTAATTAATTTATTTTACTCGATTTTTTATTTATTTTTCATTTTATTTTATTTTGTTTTATTTTGTTTTATTTTATATAATCTTCTATTACTTTGCTTTATTTAATTTCCTTTTGTTATTTATTTTATTTTATCTTAATTTAATTTACGTTATTTCTTATCAATTTTTATTATTTTGTATTATTTTATTTTATTTTACTTTATTTCGTTTCGTTATTTATTTTATTTCATTAAATTTTTTAATTAAATTGTTTTACTTTACTTGATTTTGTTATTTATTTATATTTTATTTTATTTTATTTTGTTTTATTTTAAGTTATCTTTTATTACTTTAATTCATTTGTTTTATTTTATTTTATTGTATTAAATTTTATTTCATTTTATTTTTTTTTTATTTTACCTTAATTTATTTTACTTTTTTATTCATTTGTTATATTGTTTTTTTGTTTCTTATTTTATTTTATTCAATTTCGTTTCGTTATTTATTTGGAAGTTTCATTTAATTTTTTTTTAATTCATTTTTTATCTTTATTTATTTTACTTTTTTTGGTTATTTTTTATTTTTATTAAAATTTTTAATTTTTTATTTCGTTTTATTTTATTTTATTTTATTTTACTTAATTAATTATTGTTATTTATTTTGTTTTATTTTATTTTTTTATTTATTTATTTTGTCTTAATTTGGATAATTATTTAAATCTTTTTACAGTTATTTAATTTAATTTTACTTTGTTTAACTTTATTTTTTATTAATAAATTACCAGCAACTGCAGCCTAAAGCCCTTACTTATGCTCAAGAGAGAATTTTTGGTATCTAGGGTCTTTTTTTAATTTTTTTTAATTTTCTGAATTTCTTATGTTTTTATTCTTTTATCTAGTCTTTTTTATGATTTTTGCCGTTCCCATGAAAGTTATTTAATTCAACATTTTTTGAGCCTTCACTATGGACAATAGCTCTATGTTCAGCATATAGCCGGAGGCATTTGAGCGGCTTGATCTGTCAGTACACATCTTGACGAGTAATCAACTTCAATCTCAATACCTTGTTAAATGTATAATTATACAAGTCAACGATGAGAAAATGAAATGAAATAATTGTTTGCTTACCATCAACGGGGCAGCATTGATTTTTTTGCGAATCTATCTATCTTCTTTGCCCATAAAAAAGAAAATAGAAGCCGGCTGTCAATATTTTGTGCTGATCTTTTGCTTAAATCAAAATGTTGGTTTAAAATAGAATATGCACAATAGGTATGGAGATGTCTTTAATTTTTTACTGTAAGTTTTGCTGAATGGTTTAAAAAACAGAGCGGAAGATATGTGAGAACTGTATCGTTTGTACCAAGATTTTTCCTTAAATTTTCAGCAAAAAAATCGCATAAATGTGTACAATTAAGATAATTAAAGAATAAATAGACAAATTTTCAAAAGTTCACCAAATTCAGAGTATTCCCAAAGTCTTTCATTCATCAAAATTTGATTATAAATATGTATAACTTTATAAGCAGTTGATTAAAAAATAGCTTAAGACTAAAAAATATTATGTATATGATGGTAGAGCCCTCATATTATGCTTAGAAATCCAAATAGAAATAAAAAATCTAACGACTTTATAAAAAATTATGTGAAAAAACCATATTTAATAATATATATATATATGTATAGGTAGCATTTTCAAAATATATATATATTTAATTATACCAAGCACTAAAGGTATTTCCGCCCAACGAATGCTTCGATACACTTCGATTGATTTATTGTCGTTTTATGACACTCTGTATATGTAGATATGTACATATAAATGAACTTATTTTGAAATTTATTTGGTGCCTTTAACATTTGAACAATTTCTCTTGCAAATGCTTTGTGGTACAACTACATTTTAATACATACACGTGTTAGGCTACTTGTTTTCGGGGTGCATCTGACTTGCCGCACGTCGTCACTAATTGCTAATAAAACCATATATGCAAAGCACATCTTATATCTTGAATTACAAAGATGACTTGAATTTATAATTTCTGACTGCGATCCTCTGTCTACTGCGTACTTATGTGCATATGTATAAACATGTGTTATAATTTGTGAGCCACATTTTATGTACCTACAGGTGTAAGTATTAAAGAGGCGTGTGAAGTTATCGAACCCAAACGGTTCAAAATTTTAAACAAAGGCTATAAATTAAAACGATTTGAGGGCAGTTTTAGCGCTTTATAATATTTAATATAAACAATTTTTTCAGTTATTTTCTTGTAGAAAAAGTTTTATTTCCTTTTTATATATTAGTAAGAAAAATATTAAATTAATCTCATTACAAAAACGTAAATCTATCTACATAAGCCTTAGTCGGTATATAACTTTAACACTCATTCCAGCTCAAATGGTTCAATGAAATTCTTAATCTTCTTAACACTACGTTCCGCTGGCCTCAACGCTAAATGTTTGCCAAAAATAGTGAATTCCATATTCCATAGCCGCATGCCAAATACACACTCGCTCTTTGGAATCGAACGTATACGATTATCCTTGCCTAAGATTTTTAGCATATTTTTCGTATCCAGTACAACAATCCCACTCAGTCCAACTAGTGTTGGACATTTAGATTCCACTACACGTATTTTAGCGCCATGTAGATCAGTTTTCACTAATAATCTGCTAAATGCATCGTATGTGGGCTCATGTACTGCGGGAACTGTATCACCTTCACGTAAGCCCAGATGTTCACGCATGTAACCCTTCCATAGTTTATGCAATGGCAGTGCTTCTTCATAAAGCATTTGTCGTGCGGGTAACGTATGGAGGCCCAGACGCGCATATTCACGTCTTGTTAGCGTGGAAGATTTGTTGGCAGCACGTTTGCGGCTTAGTTGTTTTTTGCTTTTAGTTCCCTGCAGCATTGTAATGTGTTCGGGATTAATTTTTATTTCAGAACGATGCGTTGGTACCACCATGTCGGTGAGTAGCTCCTGCAGGGGCGCCATAGAGTTGTCCATGGTAAAATTAACTTTTAAATTCAGGATGTGAAAGAAACTAGTTGAATGTACAAAAAATTCGGCTTGGCATCCAGTGACAAATATTAACAAACAGCTGTGTATTGTTTACAACTGAGGTATTGCCAAATTAAAATTTATTGAAGATGCCGTATGGTTAACTTACTTTTATTACTTTTCTGTTTTTTAATTCTCTCCTTTGTAGAAGTGAGGTAAAATTTCAAATGTAATCTAAACAATTTAGGTAACTAATCTGTTATTCAAAGTTAGTTTTGAAATTCAAATTACTCGTTGCAATATCATTCGAACAGTTTCCGGTGATACAGGCTAAGATCACGCAAAAAATGTTCTGTTTATTTATCAATAACTGTCACAGGTGGTAGCACTAAGTAACGACGTTTGTAAATGTCAAATAAGTGCTGGGCGTTGTCAAAATATTTCTGATTGTTGAATACGTTTGTTTACTAAATTGTGTCAGGATAATAATTTTTCAACAAATAACCAATATTTATTTAATCGAAATGCTACACAAATCAGTAATCGCTTCTATAATCATTGTCATGTTAGCTATACGAGATGGTAAGCAAAGAAGCGCAGTGGAAACAAAGTGATGAGGTTCACACTTACACATATATAGTTAAAGAATGAGATTAATCATAGAAATACACCTAATCAACAACTATTTTTACTATTACGCATATTTACGTTATTTTAATTTATTCAAATCTATTGTTATTTAAAAAAAACAGCTTCGGCAATTTGGTGTTATCGTTGCACATCGGCTACGCCTGGATGTGGTGAAAAGTTTAATTGGCGTGGAATCGGCTTTCTTGGTGAGCAATGTCCCGAAAGTAATGATATTTGCGTCAAAGTGATTGAGAGGCGTGGTGGTGTGTATTTATTAAAAACAAAGTTATATTTTATAAATTTCATTTTCAACTATTTTCTAGCACAAGAGACTATAACCCGTGATTGTTTGAGTGCTTTAAGCTTCCGGACAGACGTTCCAGCAGATAAATATGAAGGCTGCAGACCTGCCGCGAAAGATGTACGCTTGGCAAATTACGTTAATCATACTATTAAAGAGCACGATGTAAAGCGAGATTATTTTAATGATGTTACATTTTGTTTCTGCTTTCTTGATCACCGTTGTAATGGTGCTAAAGCAAATGTGAATTCCATAGCATTACTAGGATTTGTTAGTATAGCATTGATATTCGCAAAAAAGTTGTTGGCTGATATATGTGCATGAGTTTAGAGACATCTTTGTCTACGCCACAAATTTGATTACCCTCCACTTTTAATACCGTTAGTGCCTTTAATAGTAATATTTTATATTAGGAATATATAGTTTTGGCGAACAAAAATGTATACATATGACAAGCAATTTTTTTGCTCACTGCATTCCGTCCAAGTGCAAATTTTATAAAAATATGTGTAATTATCCATGTCCATAATTCGTACTTTTTGAGGATTGTTTTCAAAACTCAGAATAAAAAATGCCGTCCATAAATTGTTTACAACCATACCGATTATTAAATATAAGCTCGAATAATTTTACATTAATATATGTATTTGATCATTGTAATCTATAACCAACATTTTTTAAAACAATTCAGTTTTTGAAATAAAACATTTAACTGAAATTACAAGAGAAAGATGCATTACATTTTTAACAAAGAAAGAATCATTCCAAAAAGATTTATTAATTCCATCAATTTATCAATCTAAATAGTTTTCAACCGGCTGCTTTCTTCCGCGATAATCATAATCAGCGAATTCGGGGTGTTTTTGCATAAACTCCGCATATACTGTTGCCAAACGTAAATGTTCCTCCACAGATAATTCAAAAGGCCTTATTATTGGATCAACATCGGCCAACTCGAAAAGTGAATCAGTTATATCGTCACGATCTTTAGGTGGAAAAAGCGTGCTATATCCTCGACGGCAATACTTTTGACGCATATTAAATACATGGCGTACTACACGCTCGACCAATTCGAAGGGCAAAAGTGTTTTGGGCTGTTTCAACGGTATTAATTTAACAACGCCGACATCAACATCCGGTTTAGGCACAAATGCCTTTCCTGGTATGATAAATTTCATTAAAGGTTGCGTCCATATTTGAGACATAATTGATAAACGGCACCGTTGGTCGTGACCAAGTGGGGCACAAATACGTTCAGCAACTTCTTTCTGAAAAGTCAGTGTCATAGCTGTGTCGGAACGACGAAAAGCACCACGTCTCAAAGACAAATCATGTATCCAATTAATAAGTAAACGCGTAGATATGGAAAAAGGTAAATTTCCAATCAAATGGAGGCGATGTTCTATCTCTGACACATGCTTTTCTATATCAAAACGTAATATATCCCCTTCGTATATGTCAACTTGTGTTTGCAATGGGCGTGCACATTCTTTTAATAATTCTAGCGCAGGCATAAAACGGGCATCTTTCTCCACAAGCACCAATCTGCCTGGTGTACGACGAATAATTGAACGTGTAATACCACCCGGACCAGGACCAACTTCCAATACAGTATCATGTGGATCGATTCGACCGGCAGACTTAACAATTTTATCAGTTAGCCGCTCGTCCATAATGAAATTCTGACTCATATATTTAATAGCTTGCAGTTTGTAAAGTTTAACAAGATCGCGTATGGTAGGCATGGGCGGCAGGCGAACACCACCGGTAAGTACGCGCGCAGCAGCTTGTGGCATGTTTATGTAATACAGCTACAAATTAGAACAAAAATAGTATAGTGAAAAAATATTTCAAAATGAGTTTCTAAACACATACCTTTTACGATTGTTGACTTCCTGATTATAATGAATTACGAAACAAAATTAACTGATCTCCTTCCTTCTCTATGTGCGTATCTTAATTCTAATATATAACTTTATGTAACTATTATTGGTTTGAAACTTTTTTTGGCTCATCAAAATCATCTAGGAAATCTTCTTGTTGCACTGATAGCATAGAGTAGGCATAAATGCCCAAAACTGATGCGCCCAGTACACCGGCCGTGATAAGGTTATTTCTACGTACGCGTTGTAATTTCTGCACACGCACCAAATTCTGCTGTTCAATGATTTTCATAAACTCCAATTGCGCTTTATCCAACTTCGGTGCATTACCGTCGAATTTGATTTTAGGAAATTGACCATCAGGTGCGGCTGACATATTATTTTCTGAGTTTTGTTATATTATATTTTAATAGAATGTAATTGTGAAATTATTTTTCACTACATGAAAATTTTCTTTCTGCCTCGTTCTTCTATTTAACGCATTTTCCTCTTTTTTAATTGAACAGCTGATTTTGACACATTTCTTGCATGGAGTGGAGCCAGATGAAGCTAAATGCAAAACATGGTGGTACATTTTTAATAATATATGGAAATCTTTCATGAGTTTTTAAAAAATACTAAAATTTAATTTACAGTTAAAAAAAATTTATTTAATTATTTATCTAGTAGTTTGGGTTTTTAAATGAATGTTTTCAGTACGTTATGAATGGTTAACACTTTTCTCTGTTTTCGTTCTCTAGCTGGCAGCACTCCTATTGCACTTCCTTATTGTTGTTGCTATACAATTTTCCAAATTCCCCCTTTCCGCTTGAAACTAGCGAACGCAATGGAGCCCATAATGGCTGCAATAGCTTTTCCTGTTCGTTGCGTTCAGTTCACTTTTGTGACTCGGCTCGTGAAGAACTTGTAATAAAGTGCTGATCAAGAAAAGCGAAATTCATTTAAACATTGTAAAAATAGTATTCAATTGAAGTGTGTATAAAAAAGCAAAAGAAATAATAAAAACGTTTGTTGCTGTTGATGCGCAATTATTCTTGCCAACTGTTGTACTGCCAAAAACAAACAAAAACAAATTGCAGAGGGGAAATTAAGAAACATAAAAGAGATAAAAGGTATATTTTAATACTTCATACAAGACAGCTAAGCTGAAATTGTGCATTTCTGTGATTAATCCATATGCCCATTGGTACGATTTTCACAATCACTGAATGCGTATGGGAAAGTGTTGAAGCATAAACGTTTCAAAAGCTAATTGCGCAAAATAATAGTGAACGTAAGGCACACTTGCATATGTACGACTACATACAAACATACATACATACATTATTTTGTGTGCGTATTTTTTTGTCAAAAGAAAATTTCCAACTAAAAAGAAGTTGAAAATGAAAAAGTATTTTAGTGCGAACGCTAAAAATATTGTGCGGACGTTAAAACATTTTATGCATTTTACCTTTATTTGAATTTTATGTATAATTAAACAAACATTAAGTATGTACATACACGTATATGTATATACATATATGTTTAATATGCATTTTATTTATATATTGTACTTTCATATTTAACTACATCCATACATATGTACATACCAAAGCCTATGACACTGCGCTCTGTTGCTGCGAATGTGCAAAGCAAAGCAGAAAATGTGTAAAAAACATGGAAAACAACTTGTATTATCACAAAACGATATAACAAAAATTACAGCACAAAGCGTAAAGTAGACAAATCAGAATATATATGGAAAGCGTAAAAACAGAAATCAGCTGTCTACCACACAATTTGGAAATAGCCAATAACAACAAAACAAAAGTGCTAGTTAATACATATATACATACATATATGTACATAAATGCGCACGTCCTCCCACTGCACCTCTTTCCACTCAGCAGTTTCTTCGTACAGCTCTCGTACACGCATACATCCATACATATGTATTTACTTGTTAACGTACTTACAAGCATATATATATTTACAGCGCTTTAGACTGTGCGTCTCGTGTTTTTCTTTAATTTTGTGAGTGGAGTAGGAAAGACGTTCTTTGTTCTAAAAGTTGTTTTTCATATTTTTTTTTTTTGCCCTTTTGCGGAGACTTACATATCTACATATGCTTTCAATTCCAAGAAAACCTGTGCTGAATTTATTTACATATTAATTTGGCATTAATACACTTTCAAACTGCAGAAACGCCTAACAGTAAGGAAATGTCTCCGGAAATTTGATAACTCGACCTCTCCCGACTTCAACCCGAACGCGAATAGCTAAAAGCTTACTAAACTACCAATGTCAACGAGCTTGGGTTCCACGCCTACACCAAGTGAAGGTCGAGTTCTAATAACGACAATTGCGCGAAGAGATTTGCGGCTCTCAAGACGTAACACATCGTTTCCAGTGGTTATATTCTGGAACCCAGTTCTAACAGCTCTTCTTTTCGTCAATTGGAAACGCCAAATATAGCTATGCCCTACTCCTCTTTAGGTGGAAGTCTTTCCTTTGTTTCCACCGCCGAATACTGTATCGAAAGCTTTCTTAGTTGAAGTATTATCATTCATCCATACCACCGGACTTAGCCAGCTTAGCACCTCTTTCTTGACTTACTTACCTTTCTGAATATTGCTATATCAATGTATGCCGTGCAGCTCATCGTCCAATCGACTGCGGTATTCGCCGTTGCCAATGCGCAAAGGACCATAAATCTTACACAAAACCTTTCTCTCAAAAACTCCCAGATGTATAGATGTTATCTTAGTCCAAGCCGCCGCAATAAATAAATGAGGGACTTGTAGAGTTTGGCCTTTGTTCGACGGTAGAAAACTTTATTTTTCATTTGTCTACTCGGTATAAAGTAGCAATTGTTGCCAAGAGTGTTACTGCATTGGATTTCCGAACTTACATTGTAGTTTATGTTAATACTGGTTCCAGTTGTACACTCTTCTAGAATATTGTACATTCTCTATTCAGCTCTGATTATTTTCTACAGGTGTAATAAAGAGTCACCTTTTATAGAACATCGTTTGACATCGAACGGCTCGGAGTGGTCCTTGCCGTTTCTGACGGGGCTTTCGGTGTTACTCAGTGTCAGTTTCCACAGTTTCTACATTTGAGGGAAACCAAATACGCAATCGCAGGCTGCTTAAAAATTGACGAAGAACTCCTGTGTGCCGATCTTCTTTTCACAGGTCACGACTGGTGAATATTCAATCAATGATGGAATTAAAGGATTTTTTGATGTTAAAGCCCAACCAGCTTTTCATACAATACACGCGATAGACCACGGTAAATGGCACAGACTGTGGGGTTCCTCCTCTACACTCAACATTTAGGCATTTTAATTTTAGTTTTTGATAGAAAATAAAATATTGTTATTTTGGTGAAAACATCTTTTGTGCAAATACGGTAATAAATTTTAATAATTGTACCAATCTCCCCCACCCCTCCCGCCATGCCACGCTAGCCACATTCACATAGCTCCTGCCACAATCAAAGGCAATCACTGTGGAAATCATTGAAATGCATTAAAATCATTGGCCCACGCAAACGCTGATGAATATGAATGATAATGATGGGTGAGTGGGTAAGGAAATTTAGGTGAGTGTGGGTTGGGGAGGGAGATGGGGCTGTTGCTGGTGACTACACTCGCCTGCTTCACTGCCTTTATGGATTATACAATAAATTACTGAGCAATTTCGCAACAAAAGCTAGACAAGTGTATGCATTTATTCGAATACATATACATGTATGTATGTGTGTTTGTATGTATGTGTTTTAATTTCAGAATGGCACAATAATTGCAATTAAAAATTTACCGTTTTCAGTCATAAATAAAGCAGTACATTTAAAAATAGCATTCGTGCGTGTGGAAAACTATAAAGAAACCGTCCAAACGAAAAACAATAAAAATTAAAAAAAAAGAAAATAAAATTAAAAAAAAAACACACAAAGGGAAATCAATACAGTTTTGATTTAAACGGCAAAAAAAAACAATAATAACAACAAAGAAACAAACAATTGTGTTGTAAACAATCCGTTTGCGCGAATTAAACTTTAAATGAAATTGTGGATTTTGTAACGAATTTATAAAGTTAATAAGCAATTAAGTGTTTTAATTAAAGTAAACAACGAGAATTAATAAATAAATAAAAATCGTCAGCTGTAACAGTAGTAGAGCGGGCGTTGAAAGCAGCTATAGAGGCAGCAGGAAGCTGAATCAAGCGACAGCAGCAACTACACACTCATACACACACACACACTCGCACTAATTCCGGCAACTGCGAGACTAAATAAATAGCAAAATGCCCTTCTATTCACGTGACTGGCGTTCGCCCGGTGAGGCTTGGGTGAAAACCGACGAGGGTTGGGTGTGCAAGAAAGTGCTGGAATGCGGTAAACGTAAGAGGTGAGTCGACTTGTAAATACAGACCTTTTTTCTATATATTTTATACTATAAACTCTAGAGCAGCATTAAAATTTCGTAGAAGCAAGTTGACCGAGCTGTTTTTCCAACATCCTACAGCTTATTTTAAGCCACCTCCGAACGGCTGATAGATTTTTATGAGAATCTTTTATTTCATGTCAGAAATACACACGAAGGGGATAAGTTAATTATTTTTCTTTATATTAATTTTCTGTAATTTTAGATGTTAGTCTGACCAGGAGTCGAAGCCTAGACTTCCACATGGCAGCACACACAGCTCGCCACTTAGCTATTGCGGGCTCCAACCTAATGCCTCCTGACTTATGTACATTCTCCTTATACATTCAAATATCGAACCCTGTGCCAATATTTTCCCAACTGTATCAATGCCGAGCACCAAATGACTTGGTTAACTCGTATAAAAATTAGGTTCCGGCAGTTTCACCAACCTCTAAGTCCCTGCCATTGCCTTGTCTAGGTTTGATAGAGGTATGATGTGTAAATACATATATCTACCATCTTGAGGTTTGCCGCTATTCATTTATATGCTCCACTTCTCTTTATATTAAAAGCAACCTCGCTGACCAATTTTTTTTTATGTGTAAATGATGGTCGAGTTCTTTAAACAAGACAAATATGCCCAACCCCAACCCTTCGAAAGAGTCGGTTTCCTAGAACTACCTTTAGATGACTTAGATTAATTTAGATTTCTTCTAAGCGGGGTTTGATAGCGTCTACGACAAAAAACATACGCTGATTCCGATTTAGAAGTTTTCGAGAAAAAGATTTTGCGAAAGACTTTGGTCCTCTTTTCGCACTCGATACGATATTCGCCAACGGAAGCAGATGAAGAAGAAGACCTTCGGTTTAAGGTTCAAGCTCTCTCCTGCTTAGTCAGTGAAACGAATAATATTTGTCGAGTTATGAAAAAGAAAATTCGTTAAGTGTCTAAAACTAGAGACGCCAACATATCAATCCATTCCACTGAGTTTTATTCCACTTCCGACTTTAAAGTTTACTTAAGCATAGACAAACGTATTATTTAATAATTATAGTAATTATAATTCCTAACCTCAAATGCGATGCTCAAACATATTTAATTGGAAAGTAATTTCAGTATGTGACTTTTGCCGAACCGCCTAAATTCCTTTGCTACACGATTTTCTATGTGATTTTCCAGGCGATTGCCCATCTAAGGGCAGCTTCATCTTACCTTCCATACCTCAGCCTGGTACTTTCATCATGACCTCCATCCCACCACTGACTTTAATTTGCACGCATTGTCAACTTCATCAGTCACGTGGTCTCACATCGCTTTCGCTGTGAATAAAACTATACACAAAGTCAATCAAAATGATTAATCGACCTTTCCTCTTCTTCTTCTTCTTCTTCATCTTCTTTACTTGAACTTTATATTGGTAAGTGTGCAAAAAGTACTCAAAGACAATTATAAAGTTTTCCCTCTCAACCGATGGAGTGCAATTACTTTAGAGAATTTGCTTGCAATGGCAATAACAATAAAGCAAAAACAGTAAAGTAACAGCAATTAAGTGTTGCCACTCTAGCAAGTTTGATAGAGCACGTACAGCTGCAAATTGGAAGACAAAATGGCACCTGCGTGTGCTGGCACTTGTTGATAATTCTTTACTATTGTACTTTTCTAAATAACACTGCTGTGTGTGCATCTACTCGTATGTGAATATGTACATACATATGTATGTGCTTAAATTACGGAAATAGCAGAATGAATATGGACAGCCGGACTGTTATTAAGAGGAATTTTTGCTGCTGTTTTGTGGGAATGTAAACTTAAATAATTTTTATTTAATTTATTTCATTTATTAACTTTGGATTCGAGTTAACGCAATCAAAACTTTTGTCGTTCGGGTCACAAGGGCGATAATGTTTGGTCATGTAAATATGTCGGCCGCGGTAGTCAGGAGGTTAGCACTGCGTACTGCTATTCGGAAGGGTCGGGCTTAAATCCTGGTGTTGTACTAACATCCAAAAAGCTATAGAAAATTATTTTTTCATAAAAACCCCTTAAGCCGTTGGGAGGCGGTTTGGTATAAACTATGGGTCCCTTCATTTGTGGAAAATATCAAAACGCAGAACCACAAATTGGAGGAGGATCTCAGCCGAAAATCGTTTAAGCGGTTACAAAGTGCCAATTATATATACTTATATATATATACGAGGTGTAACAATTAAGTAATGAGGCTGATTATATTGCCGCGCTTGTGGTAACCCTGAGACCTTGAAATTCCCTTTCCCTTCTCCCGGCATCCTCCTCTCTCCATTGATATATTTGTTCTCTAGCTCTAGCTTGTTTAGTTCGCCCGCTGTGTCGTATTGAGTAAACGTGTGTTCGTGGGGCTCGTCACGAGAATGGAAAACCGAAACACAGCCCGCAGCGTGTCCCAGTATTTGGCCTCTAAAGGAATCGCCGTGTTGCACCAACTGCCTTATTCGCCCGATATATTACCCCGTGACTTTTTTTCACTAGAAAAAAATCAATGATCAAAGGAAACTATTTTGAGTCGATTGAAGACAAGCAGGCGGTCGTGAGGGGAGTGACAGAGTTGTAGAATAATTTTTGGAGTATACGATTTTTATGGAATCAGTCTCATTACTTAATTGTCACACCTCTTATGTCTGTCCAACTGTCCGTCCTTCCGTCACTCCCACGACATGGAGAAGGGTGTCAGCAGCTCAGTATCGGTCAACAACATTTTACCGCATGCTCTTAGATCTTTTTCAAAGAGTCAGGGGTTAACAATCTATTCATTACAATAATCATCAGCTGCTCCTGTGTAGAACTGCCAGCTATTCCCTTACGTCAGCCGAAGAACGTTTCAAAGTGTTGTCCTAATTCCTACTCTCTGTAAACTTACGGTTAACTCCCTTCTGACTGGAACTGACTGGGAATCGTTGCATACGGTTATAGCAATAAATTTCTACAAATTCTATGCAACTTTATGAAGGTGACTCTTCGGAGAGTATCTGACTGGTCTAAACTTTGTGAACTTTGCGTCAATTCAAAAAATATGGAACTCGTTCTATGCACTAATAGGTATAAAGTGCTTACAATGAGCACGCCAATTCTTCATGGGTTTACCTAAGTCGCGAAACCAAGAGTAGACCGAATTAAGTTGGAACCACACTGCTACAAGCATAATGTCTAGACAAACTTGGATGAATTGGAACCGAAAATGAAAAGGGTGGATATCTCTAAGATGCTGTAGCTGTTTTAAAAATGATGTGGCTGCCAGGCTGTGTGAAGTTCAGTGAACGGGTAAGCCCCGTGGGATCACAATGGGCCTACTCAAGCTTCCCTATCAATAGTCACTTCAACCTCTCCAATCGAATAATAAATCTTATCACCGAATATAATGGATATCGGAGTTCTATAGCTTATAGCCCCAAATAACCAATTTTTTCTGATATGAGATTAAGTATTTAATCCCAAAATGAAATGCCATAAATTCAATGTGGTCATTGAAGGTATAAAGACTTCTTCAAGACCGAAGACAGCTCTTTTTTCTCATGTATACTTCATTTTATTTTATTCCATTATAAAGGGTGATTTTTTAAGAGCTATAGGAAAGTTTTTCAAAAAGAAAAATCGATAGTACGGTCCATATAATTTAAGGATTGAAGATTACTTCATGCAAATGTTGATCGTGACTGCGCCTCGAATAGTCCATTCGCTTAGTTCAATTTTGACATACTCTTTCCAACATTTCGGCCGGTATCTCACGAATAAATGCTGCCATGTTGACCTCCAATGCGTCAATTGATGCGGACTTGTCTGTATAGACATTAGATTGAACATAGCCCCACAAGGCGTTAAATCGCACGATCTATGCGGCCAATCGACCAGTAAAATGTTCACCGAACTCGCCTCTCAATAAGTCCATTGTTACGCCTGATGTGTGACATGTGGTACCGTCTTGTCGAAACCACTTGCCATGCAAGTCAAGCTCTTGCATTTTGGGCAAAAAAGAAAGTTTGATATCATCTCACGGTAGCGCTCACCATTCACCGTTACGTTACGATTCGCATCATCTTTGAAGAAGTACGATCCAATGATGCCACCAGCCCATAAACCGCACCAAACTGAGACTTTTTCTGAATGCATTGGTAGCTCTTGCAATGCTTCTCGCTGATCTTCACTCCAAAATCTGCTTATTTACGCACCCATTTAACCAAAAATGAGCTACGAAGCGCACGTGGAAGTAGCGCGCGATGATGAAACGTGCATCAGCTGTTTAAACCAGTGTTGCCGAAAAGGTAGTAGCTAAAAAATCACCCTTTACATATTACTACTGGCTGTTTCACTTTATTTTGTTTTTAATTAATTACACATTTCACAATTTATGCCATACGTTAGCAGTATTGTAAAAGTGATAACATTTTATTACCGTAAGTAAAAAAGTACTCAGCTTGCATGAGTCACATTCACACCTTTCACCTTGATAACAGCAACAACTGGCGGTCGATAACACTACATTCAGACTTTCCCATTAGCTATTACCAATTTTTGTTTACCTTGATTGATAGCTAAAGGCAAGAACAAATAATAAAAAAATCAAAACTTATCAATATTTACTAAAAGGAAAAAAGTTTTTATTATTTTATTATATTATTTTACTAATTGCGCAGAATTTTTTCAAGCTTTCTATTCGTTGCTGAAGGGGATTTCTGATATATTCTATATACACGGTGTGTCCTAAAAATAACCGAACTTTATATTTAAATCATACAACATACAGCGCCATCTATTGAAAATTTGCAGCATTAAAGAGATCCTCTTTCAAACGCACCTAACATCATGTAAGTCGGATGACAGATGTAAAAGTGACAGCCATTTCAATAAAACCAAAAGTGTGCTAATGGTTCAAAAATAAAATGGAACAAAGAGCAAATACAAAATTTTGTATCAAACTTGAAATAAAAAGTTAATGAAAAAAGTTTATTGT